ACACTTCTTTGTGAAATTATTGAAAACTAATTATTGAAATAATTAATACTTCTTAATGCTAATGATACATAATAATAAATGTAAGAAATATTTCTTTTTCTTTTTTCTTACCTTAAAGTCACCATCAATCGTTCTTCTACAGAAATAGGTCGCTGAAAATTGGTACTAGTGAATTGCAAAACAGGTTTTATGGCTTGCACAATATATTCAAACGTTGTAGGCAACATTCGACAATATTCCTTGAATAACAAAGGTTGAGCCCGTAATTCCTCATACAAATTGTGAAATTCCCCATAAATATGCCTTTCTAAGTATACAATATTAGTCCCACTTCTTCGCCGTACATACTTCTGGAGTATTTGATACTTAAGAAATGAATTTTCCAATAATATTTGTTTCCGTCCGTCCATGACAAATGCACAGTGCCCACTGAACGGCAGCGTCGTCGGTGGCGGCTGTGCGACACGATTCGCGTGCACGTAGGACATAGCCGCCGCGTCGCACCGCATCGCATTGAATTCGCGTGTATTCGCGTTCGCTTTGAACCGCCCACCTAGGACGCCGAGTTAGCACTGAGCAGCGGCGCTTAGTACCGCGGGTTCGAATCCCGCACGGAACGGAATATTTGTACGCCCGAATAATTGTTTCGGCGATTTATATATGTAAACTGCCTAAAATCCTAGTGTCGATGTAACGTTTTTGATATTTAAAGTTAATTAATATTTAATAAACACCAAATACTCCGTGAACTATCATAGATTTTTTTATACAAACCTGTATATTTAATATTTGCCGTTAATCTTATTTTTAATTCCGGAACCTGACCTTGGCAGCCAGTGACCAGCAGATTGAAAGTAACACTAACGAATTATACAGCACGGTTCCTGTAGTGTTAGTGGTACAGTAAGGAGAGGTCGCAAACAAATAGATTATTCATTAGGTCTTCTTTACCGTTTTTTCCAGAAAGTCTTATATTCTACCCATTCTGTCACAGTTAAAGGAACCAGGATATAGTTTTAATATATTTGCTCAACTTCTTGGCGCACGCGTCTTTTTTCCTCTATCAGACCGCAAACGTTCATCGTTGGACGCAATACATGTACCTAAAATCATTTTGTCGGTTGCAAATGATTTTAGATGTATGTGTATGTGAGTTCGTGTTTTTACAATAAGTTGAGCATGGTTTTTGCTTGTTATTTGCGACATTTAAAACGTAAGGAGTTATTTCTTTGTTGTTCTAAGGTGTACATATAATTATGTGTAATTAATGCCAATAAAATGGTAAAATGTTTTAAAAACGCTCTTCTTTGAAATTCATGCTAACCAAAATATTCCAACATGGTTTGGGACAAACTTCATATTAAATGTATAAAAGAAAGCATTATCACCAATGAGGTTAATCTTAATTTCGACTTTGTGCTAATCTCGAGGCTTTCATAAAATAGCACTAGCCTACAGAAAGCCTAAAAAGCTTCCTCTTGTCTATCGACACATATATAATAAATATGTATTTTTCTAACGATAATTATTTCCTAATTGGTGTTCTAGGTATATTTTATTTGTCATTTTCTCTACTTGTACTATTTAAATATACCTAAAGTGTTTAGACATATTTCTGACAACTACGACTTAATTGAAATAATACTAGTTTTTACGGATTTTATCGCGTATATTTAACTTTTTAAATACCCGACGTTTCGAGAGCTTTACAGCACCCATGGTCACGGGGGGGACTGAGATGTTCAACGTCCAGATGTCATAGTTAACCGCGATTACCATAGATTAAAATTTAACTTTTGTTCCGATCTACACATTGCTCTACACAAGACCAGATGTGTAGATCGGAACAAAAGTTAAATTTTAATCTATGGTAACCGCGGTTAACTATGACATCTGGACGTTGAACATCTCAGTCACTATCTCTCGAAACGTCGGGTATTTAAAAAGTTAAATATACGCGATATAATCCGTAAAAACTAGTATTATTTCAATGCGTAGTGTTCGCGTAAATATAAGAAATCATTACGACTTAACTGTTATTTCACTTTTTTATTTACTATTTAGACTAGATCAGGGCTTCCCTAACTGTGAGGCGATCTACAGATTGGCTGTGTCTATGCGACCGAGTCGAATGAGCGCCGCGCGCTATAGATATATAGATAGAGAATACACTATATACCAGCCGCGCGCATTCTGTTGAACAGAACTGAATTACACAGAATCTGTTTTGTCGTTTCGTAGTAGTCGCGGGCGGCCGGCGTCGCCTTCCCCCCGCGTGTTTACCTTCCCCCCCGCGTATTCATATAGTTTCAGTCAGTCAAGCTTTTGTTATGTTCTTACAGTCATCTACAAGGTAAGCCGAGACACTTTTTGTTAGAAAATTGCGAGAACTCAAACATCAGTCCACGGCTTTGCTTTCAAATGTATCAGTTCCTACCAAAGCATTGCTCGCCTCCTACAAGGCAGCTACGAAACGCGTTTTACACTTATCTACAGGCAGAATCACACAATGGTGCGCAAAACTTAATTAACACTGACTTCATAATAAAATTGGCATATCTCTGCGACATATTTCAAAATAAGTCCTTGCAGGGAAACAATACTTACATACAGGCAGAACAAGGAACAAATCACTGGGTTTCAGTAGTTGCTCTCATGAAAGAGAAAATTAGAAGAACAGGTACATACAGACTGTTTCCCTGCTTTACAAGGCATTCTACAAGAAACAATGATAGAAAGCCTTGATCCCTCTATAAAACTAGTATTTATACAACACTTCTCATTATTAAGCAAAAATTTTGAAAACTATTTTTCCGAAAATCTGGAGCAATATGACTGGCTTAGAAACCCTTTGCAGTCGACCCCGCCATCAACACTTTCGACAAAGGAACAAAAACAGTTAATAGAATTGTCCTATGACTCCAGCCAGTACTCCAATACGACAAAGAGAAACTTCTTGAATTTTGGAGCTAGGTTTCTTACGAACATCGCGCCATGAGCACTGCAGCATTGAGGGTTCTATTATTGCCATTTGCGACATCGTACTTGTACGAAACAGGCTTTCCTGCAGTTGCAGTAATAAATAACAAGTACAGATCGAAGATAAATGTAAAGAAAGAGATGAGAGTGGCAATTTCCAAACTTGAGCCAAGTTTTGAGAAGCTATGCTGAGAGAAACAAGTACATCCTTCTCATTAGTAACCAGCCAACAAAGAATCTCTTTTCATTTTTGTCTTATCTTTTAATAAAAATTATAAAACTGCTAATGTAAATAGTTAATGCAATTTGGAGTATTTCTAGTAACTTGTTACTATGCTAGAACTACAACTGGTAGGTATTTTTGTCCAGAGGGACATCGCAAAAAAAAAAGGGAAATTCCCAAGGGCGTCACTGATAAATAAGTTTGAGAAGCCCTGTACTACACGAATAATGTTTAAAAAAGTATAATTTTTAAGTTAAATTGGGTAGTGTTTTAATAGTAAAGTAACCTAAAAATAAGATAGTGAAGGTCGTCTACAGATAAAAAAGATCATTCGAATATAAACAGATTAAATGCAAGCATCAAAATAAAAGCTGGTTTCCACCAGCTATTATTTTGTTGCTTGCATTTTTTGTACAAGCAAAAAAATACAATAGTCTGTTATGGTTGTGAAAAATCGAACACTCACTTTAAAATAGAGTTCTTATCATATTTTTGACTCTATCAGACTTTTAGCTTAATGGTAACGCTTATTGTTAGAAGAAATATAGCAAGACAGGACTTACATATAAATCAACACGTAGCAATCTGGTTTAAGCTGTTCATCATATACAAATTTATTATATAATCTTATAGCTAACATCACATTATAAACGCAACCTTAAGTACAAATATTAATGTCACATTCAGCTTGGCAGTGTTTATTTTCTCGTAATATGGAAAGCCCGGGTATAGTAAGCGATACATTGATACTAGGGATATGTTCCGAAATACAACTCAGTACACTGGCAAATGCAAATGACGTCATCAATTGACACTACATTGTACTGCCGTGCCGCCGTCATATTGTGTCGGATATCCGGCCATAATAAAACAACTTTTAATTGTGTGTGCGCTGAATGATGCATGCCAGAATTTATTTTTATTTATTCAAATACAAAAAATTATAGAATAATTGCTGGTATCACCATTAGGAGGATATAATGATTTTTAGAGCACAAAATTACAAAATAATCGCCAACACTTTTCCAATATGGCGCTAATGTATGACGTCATATTCTGTCTTATGTTTTGGAACGAATCACCAGTACAGCGTCGATTCATGACGTCATTTGCATTGGACAGTACACTGTGTTGTATTTCGGAATATACCCGAGATAAAATATTTATTTTGACGTCTTACCGCAAAATACGGCTTAAATGCGCAGACGCAATGGAAAATACCAAAAAGCATATTTCAAAAAATAATTCAGATATCTTCTATACTACTTCTATCAACTAGTCAATCTTACCATAGAGTAATTAATATACATAGCGTGCGATTCGCAGAAAAACACGCTAGCAAGCGCTTGTAAGCAAAATGGCGAAACTAAACAGTTATCGGCCAGGACACGTATGCTAACTTCAGTAGCGCTGACACAATCCGCCATTTTGCTTATTTAATTTGTTTCTTTTAAAGTACAGTTTATAAGTTGTTTTGTGCAATATTAAGTTTAAGTAATATAATGACATGAATAGACATATACATGTTATTAAACATTCATGATTGCTAAGTTTTTAATATGAATACTTTACAAACATATATTTAAATTAGGTTAGGTTACCCGGTTAAAACTAACTTCTTGTCATAGAGGAAAATAGCTATTTACCATTTTACAGCGCTTACCGCTTACTATCGCCATTTTGCTTACAAGCGCCTGCTAGCGCTTTTTTCTGCCAAACGCACCCATAGACAAACTTCTACTTTCATAAGTTACATAAGAGCTTATTAACTGCCTACAATTGCCCATTATGTTTCGCCTCAGTCAAGCGGCTCGTAATCCATATCGCCGCAGTACTCTGCCAGGAAGTCCAGGAACAGAGTGAACTTGCCGGTGGAAGCACGGGACCAGCGTGAGGAGACTGACTTCATGCAGGTTGACAGGTTCTCAAGAATGCTCTGCAAAAATAAGTGTTACCATTATTACGTTTCCTCTTCTTCATCCGCTCCGACTGCTGGAAAGGGTTTCTCCCATTGGTAGATAAATAAACTAACTATTAGTCTTAAAAATAGAATAATATCTCCAATAAATACACGTAGAAATCGTCTCGTAAACTACACACGCAAGGGAGGCCCCTTGTATTTTTAGTAGATTTTCTATATTCATTTCTATTGTTTTATTAGATTTAAGAATTTTTAGTATTAAATTAAAGGATCTCCACATACAGTGCCAAAACTAGAACTAACTTATGTCATAGTCACATATTGGGTGCGTTTGGCAGAAAAAAGCGCTAGCAAGCGCTTATAAGCGCTAAAATAGTTTTCGGCCAGGACACGATTGCTACTTCAGTAGCGCTGACACAATCCGCCATTTTGCTTATTTAATTTGTTTGTTTTGAAGTAGAGTTTATAAGTTGTTTTGTGCAATATTAGTTTTAAGTAATATAATTACATGAATAAACATATACATGCTATTAAAAATTCATGATTGGTAAGTTTTTAATATGAATACTTTACAAACAAATATTTAAATTAGATTAGATTCCCCGGTTAAAACTAACATCGTGTCCTGGAGGAAAATAGCTACTTACGATTTGACAGCGCTTACTGCTTACTATCGCCATTTTGCTTAGAAGCGCTTGCTAGCGCTTTTTTCTGCCAAACGCACCCATTAGTAAAATCTAAAAATACGTGTGTGTTGCTGTTTTTTTGCAAACACAAATTTTTAGCTCCAGCCACTCTCCGGTTGACGAGATTTTAAATAAAATAGAAAACTAACTATAAAATAGTCAAGTGACAGTCACATGACTTAGCGGTGATTTCATTTATTTTTACAGTTTTCTACGGCGTTTACAAACGTACATTGTCGTCACTTTGGCTAATTTGACAGAAAAGAAAAGGTATATACAGCACTGGGTACATTTAAAGTGACGAAAAACCATGCACAACTTCTTGACACGCACTTGTGCACAGATCTTTCTTCTTTCTTTATTTAAAAGCCCGTAAAAGTTCACTCATGGACGCACACATACGCACTTACAACCTGTTGTTGGTTGCAAATGATTTTAGATGTAACTGTGTACGTAAGAGCGTGTTCACACATAGAAGAAATAAAACTTACGATAGAAACAGTGTCATCTTGTAGGTAAATATGTGGCGTAACTCGCTTCCCTTGGACCTACATAAATCCGCTACGCGCATGAGGATTAAGTCACACTCTTATATCACGCCACTATCAGAGAATAGAGAGACGTCGATAAGATAAGGCCCCGCGCCTTCGTCAGAGCACGAGGCTGTCCGACGTTTATTCGTGCGCGCGCTACTTATCTCAATTAACTTACATTGTACCCGTAGTTAATTTCACCTTGTAAATTTATTTGTAGTAAAAGTTGTTGTTACATCGAAATAACATTACTTCATTCGAGTCAGTTAATTCTTATTCCTACCCTTCATTAGTATTCGTTAGTTAGTAATATACTAGTAAGAATACTTAGTGTGGGTTTTGTGGTTAGGTGGTTACGAGTAATATCGAACCACTTTACGTAGTACGCATATCGACCACACCCCACAAATATAACATAAGACACTCAGCGCTGTGCGAACGAAATTGTACTTTATTGCGTCGTGTCTAGAGCCGTTATTTATTTAAATATTTTATAGTGAGTTCTGTTTTGTATGTAACTTAAGCTGATAAATAATATACTATACCAGATTTCTCATACTAGCCAAAAATACCTGAGGCCAGTCCTGCCGGTACACGGCCAAGCACTGTTCAGTGAGCGAATCCTCACTGAGGTAGTCGTTCTTTAACAGGAACACGAGAACAGTGGCCAGCGCCTCCCACACAGCGCTGGCCTTGCACCTAGACTCGCCCAGCAGAACTATGTTCCTCGGGCAGAGGATGCGGTCGAAGAACTCAAGTAGCGTGTTCTGCTCTTGACGGTCCGATTTCGTTTGTTCTGGAACTGAAGCAAACAGTGGTTGGTAATAAAGTACAACCAAGTAAAATAGATTTTTAATTAATATATTTAATTCTTGTTTTAATAAACTGTACAATAAATTCAAACAAAGCCTTAATCTAAAAATAGTATAATTTAATAAGAAGGTTCAACGGTTATTTACATTTAACCGTGTAGTGGTCTTGTAAGAATACTCACTACCCCATATCGTTCTGCAGGTGTCAATACGGAAACTAAAACACAGAGGCAAGCTTCCTGCAACTAAAGAACACTGAGGTTACCAAACCACTTACCAAGCGCTTGGCAACTATGGCAAAGTCTCTCCCTATGAGGCACTATAGCGAACTTTTAGAGGTTGTAATGGATATATATATCTTAATATATATAAATTACGTGTCACGTTGTTTGTCCGCGATGGACTCCTAAACTACTTAACCGATTTTAATCAAATTTGCACACCGTGTGCAGTTTGGTCCAACTTAAAAGATAGGATAGTTTTTTTTGCCCATGAGTCATCCACAATTTTTTTTGCGAATTTACGGATTTTTAATAGGGCATGACAAATTGTCGTCGAAAAGGGCAGAACAACGTCTGCTTGGCAAGCTAGAAATATATAATATATATATATATATATATATATATATATATACAGAATGGGTCCCACATATATGCAATAAATTAAACCACAAGTAATACTAGTCCGTAGAAGTGTAGAAAAATTAAATATTAAATTAAAACCCGTAAAATAAAAAAGTGAAATTTTCAAACAAAATAAATATTAAAATAAATTCAGTAAAAGTGAACACTCTGTTTAGACAACGTACCTTGACCCCTTGGAAGAGTGACAACGTTGCACGCGGGTGGCACGCCGACAAAAGACACCGCTGTCGATATGTCGCAATACCAATAGTTTGCACTGCGTGGCAACGTCGCTTTTTAATGTTCAAGGATTCAAGTTCATTGAATCATTGACTTAGTGACCCAATTCTATAGAGTGTTCAAATTTGCTTAAAATTAAAACTCTACTTTTTGACCTAATTACTGGACCGATTACGTTAATTTTTTGTATATCGTCAGCAAAGGCGATAACAAGTATATGGTTTCATTTATTGCATATATGTGGGACCCATTCTGTATAGAGAGAGAGAGAGAGAGAGAGAGATATCTTTACGGTAAATGTTGATCAGACGCGACTTCACGCGAGCACTTTGTTGATCCGAAAACGCATGTTGATCCGGCGCCTTTTGTTGATCCAATATGCATCTCTGGTAACTAATGTGGCTCCGACCGGATCAACATCTGCACTCACGAGACTGTTTGCTAGCGTTTGCCGAAGTTGATCCGATATACAAATCCATCTTGCGATGGTTACGGAAAATGTTGATCCGATTTAAATGAGCCAATCAGAGCACAGCAAACGATAAGATAAACGGTCGTATTGGCTGAAAGCAGCCGCGATGTTGCCGTTTCGTATCTTTGGCGATACAAGCTACAGATTTAATGCGTGTTCAATACAATAATGCATTCTGAGTGCTGTTGGGTCTGCCTCGTTTTTGTAATGCGCCGTGTACGTTTGCGGATGCGCGTGTGGATTGTTTCTACACCACCACGCGTAAACGATGCACATCCCTGGTACGCAGGGTGCGGGCCAGTTCCAATGGTACCCTGAGGGCATTTTCTGATAGGTTTGAGGTCAGTACCTGAACTATTGTCATATGGTGCAATTGCTGACTAATCGGGCCTGTCTTAGATATAGTTTTAAAACTAGGTAAATAGTTTTAAGTTTTACTAACATTACTTTTAAGATTTGTATTATTACTAACATCTATGATCTTTGTGGTCGAAATAAACGCCTTTTTTAACGTATAACTCAATAACTCGACAACGCCCCTTCTTGTAGCGGAAGTGGAGTGCTTGTATGTGCGCGTGCGTGTGTGTGTGAGTGTGTGTGTGCGTGTGTGCACTGTGTGTGTTTTTTGAGTACGTGTGTGTGCGACAGTGTGCGTGTGTTTGTGCGGTTGTGTGCATGTAGCGGTCCGCGCGCGTGCGCGTGTGTGTGTGTGTGTGCATGTCTCTGTGTGTGTGTGTGTGTGCGCATGTGTGTGTGTGCATGTCTGTGTGTGCGTGCTGTCTGTGTGTGTGTGTGCATATGTGTGCGTGTGCGTATGTACGTACACGAGCGCACATACACACACACACAAACACGCACATAACCACACACACACACACAAACACAAACAAACACACACACACACACACAAACACAAACAAACACACACACAGTCACACACAGTCACGCACAGACACGCACAGTCACGCACAGACACGCACAGTCACGCACAGACACGCACACGCACGCACAGACACGCACGCACACACACACACGCACACACACACACGCACACACACACACGCACACACACACACACGCACACGCACACACACACACGCACGCACAGACACGCACACACACACACGCACACACACGCACGCACAGACACGCACACACACACACGCGCACGCGCACGCGCACGCACACGCACACGCACGCGCACATGCACGCGCATACGCACGCACGCACGCACGCACGCACGCACGCACGCACGCACGCACGCACGCGCACACACACACACACACACACACACACACACACACACACACACACACACACACACACACACACACACACAATAAAATACACTCCACTCCACTCCACAATAAAACCTGCCAAAGTTTGATCCACAAAATCAGCAGATAACGCATTTTCTTACCTTATTACTATAACGATCTGTCACACACGGAACGCGACGTTGCCGCTTTGTGTTCGAGTACCTATTCGTCAATTATGGCTCCGGATCCACTTAGTCTAAGTAAATGTCGCATATAAATTAAATATACTCTGGATCTAAAAAATCATATTCAGTACGATTTTTTCGACCGTTGATAGATCAACAAATGCTGGTCAAATCGCTGACGAGTATATTGAAAACCTGTTAGTGCAGATCCACCGACGTCACACGCGCATCAAGGATGGATCAAAGTATATCAGTTTGTGCGACGAGGAGCTCAGCAAACACGTCAAATAGGTGGATCAACAATTGTTCTAACTTCTCACTGGATCAATATACAGCTATTTTAATATATATAATTCTCTACGCGTTTACAAAAAAAAAGTCATATCTCTCAGTTTTAGTCCTACTGAGATAAAAATTAACTCATTCGGAGGCCAATAATATTGTTTGTCGTTTACATTATTAAAATTTTTGTTGACATACTTGTAACTTTGAAGAAAAAAAAATTAACCATAACAAAAAATATGCTAATCGGCAAATTATTGTAAAAATACTGAAAAACAACCCCGTTTATACTTTTTATTTTTTTACTATATCGACAAATTTTGAGTAAGCTGTATCTTTATTACTTTAAGAATTATTGTTGTTTGAACATAGCATATGCGCAAACACAAAAGGCCTTTGTTAAATGACAACTGGTACTGCCTGCCTAGGAGTAGTAGAGAGTAAGAAGGCCACAGCATCCACTTATCATCAGGTAAGCTATGTGCTCGTTTGTCATCGTAAATGGGTAGCCTTACACCTCCACTACACATTTAAAATCCCCTGAAATTGTGTTACTAAACAACAACTATTTAAATAAATAGTCATTGAAAAACAAATGAAATGAACAAAGATTTAGTAGTCTCTGAGTCACAGCATCCACTTACCATCAGGTGAATTGGGTGTTCGTTTGTCACCCCTATTCTATAAAAAAAAATTTTTTTGGGAGACGTAAAATTTTTCTGGTTCTTCCCATAATCTGCATCTCACGACACAAACAGGACGAAATTAATGATCCTCGTGAGTTAATTAAATATATAATGTATTAGAAGCGAAGTTCAACGGGGTTTAAGTATAAAAGTATAAAGGTATTTTTTTTTGTTAAATAAAACCTAATGTAATCATTCATAAAATTTTGAGAATTAATGGAATTTTAGATATTTTGTTTGAATTATAAGCACAAATCTCTTTTTCTTCCTGCAATTATCACAAGTAATTAGTATAGCCCTGCAATTATCACAAGTAATTAGTATAGTATAGCCACTAGTCGACGACTTCTCAACTTTTCTGAGACTGTGGCCACTTCCAAACTGCCTCTAATAAATTCATTTTAGACTTTATCCAAATATGTCACCCCGTAAACCCACCTCAGCATTCACATAAGCACAAATACAATTTAAATGACCTTTAAATAGGTTTAAAAATCAATAAAATAACAGACTCACCACTTTTGCTCTCAACACTTGCAGCGCAGTCAATGATAACAACAAGTTTCTCCATATTCGAACCCGAAGCATCCGGTGTTATCGGTGCATCATCCTCGTCACTTACTGGAGTTGGAGGTCTTTCGTCGTCCTCAAAGTTGCGCAGTTCCGGCGACAAGTCCGGTCTGCGTTCCGGCAACAGCAACTCTTGCGGAGCGTGCTTCTTCCTGTCCGGACAGCATGTGTTCCACAGTGCGTGGAGTTTGTTTAGGAACTCATCGTTAACTTGCTCCGGTTTTCGACTTACTGAAATCAAAACAATGAGACTTGGTTGTGTGGCGAGGACACTTTGGTAAGTGATGCGATGGTGTTTACTGTAGTCCATGGACACCTAATAGATAGATAGATAACACTTCATTGCACGCCAAAAAAAAAAACGTAAATATTAACAAAAAAGGAGAGAAATAAATATGGTACAATGGGCGGTCTTATCGCTAAGAGCGATCTCTTCCAGACAACCTTTAGACAGGATTGCAAGAAAACAATTAAAACATGTGTGTAATTTAGCGACATAAATAACATTATTTTTATTATAAACCTTGAAATAGAAATAAATATTTAACTAATGCATGTGAAGTGTGTTTGAAATGTCCTTGTAAGAGATAGCGTTTAATTACATTTTATTACGCATGTAACAACAGTGCCTGCCCGATCGTCACTGACTACAATTCAGTTATATAGGTACTATACTAAGTGTATTAGTTACATGGGTACTATACTAAGTGTAGTTACATCACTCCCCCCCCCCCCAAAAAAAAAGAAAATTATTTAAATATATAAGTATAAATAAATATATAAGATAAGATCTGCAGCCAACTTTAAACAAAAAAGGCCATGCGTTGTCTCTGAGACCCTAGATGGAATTCCTGTCAGCATGTAACTATACTTTACGTGGTAGAGCCATGCTGTAGCTGTATTATGGTTGTAACACAAATGGGTCGGCTCGTCCGGGTTCGGACCACGCTCTCACAGAATACCGGCATAAAATAGCAGCTTAACGCTACTGTGTTTCGTATGGTGAGTATAGAGAACCGGAGACCTCTTTTTACTGGAAACGAGGCATTCCATCTTAGTCCTCAGGAGTGGAACGGCATTTATATTTTAATTCTTAATTAAGGATAGATGTAGATGCCTATGGGCCACAGCATCCACTTATCATTAGGTGGACTGTGTGCCCGTTTGTCACTTTTATGCTATTAAAAAAACTCGTTCTCTTAACGCTTCGCAACACAGCAGCACGTAGCTATTTGGCGGCACTTTCAAAAGGAGTCCTACCAGATAGTGCTAAGGGTGGGCGTTGCGACGACGAACCGTTTACAAAAACAGTTTTGTGTTCTGCGACGATGAAACCGTTTTACGTCCTGAGTTCAAATAGTCTTCGTAGCACAAACCAGTCTTCGATTCACTTGGTGCGATTTTTTATTTTACAACTATGAAAATACAGTCGAGAACGCAATTATTCAACTATCTATCTCACTCGTTCCGTCGTCGTCCTTAACGTTCCGCGTTATGTTGTAGTCTTTCGTTCCGCGTTAGTTTACAAACGTAGACCGCGACTAAAATTAATAATAAAAAGTGAACTTTCTGTCAATGAAATACAGTCGCTGGCGTTAATCGCTGATATTGATGGTAATGCTAAGTCTGGCCCAGTCAGTCCTAAGCTTGGAAAAGTATGAAGGGAAGTTCATTTCATCGTTAAGTAAAGTCGATCGATAAAAGGAATTATTTAGTAAATCATTTCACATATTTCAAATCGTTGAAAGTTTTAAGAAACTGCAACCATTTCACTCCACGAAAACGCCATTATTCCATGTTGGATAAGTTTCTCCCTTTAAGCCGGCTTCAAACCAGTAGCAACCGTTTTCATCGTCGAGAAAACGGTTGCGTTTCGTTCCACAAGGTCCTACCACTACATAGGACGTTGCGAACGTTACGTTAGACTGGCGGATATACACAATAGAAATACAATAAAAATAGTACATTTGCTCAGGTGCTCATAGGTATTGCTCCTTGTTACCTTGTTGTAGAATTTTAAATGTGCGAAAGTCTTCAATTGTAAAAGTTTCAGGTTAAACGAATAATTCGTGCCACTTTTCAGTACGCGAGCAACCATATGTCAATCCCGCCGTCAATAAATTGATTATTACAATTTTTTAGGTCTCTTCAATAGGTCCTGGGTTCGAATCCCGGGTCGGGCCAACAATATCTATTATTGAATTTTTCCGTCAAGAAATTCTCAGTAGTTGCCCGGAGTCAGGAAGTTGGCGGTGTCTCACCCCCGTAACTCGGAAAGCACGTAAAACCGTTGGTCCTGCGCCTGATCTCTCTCCGGTCGTGTCGGTTTACCGTTCCATCGGTTTATGAGAGTGAGGGAATAGAGAGTGCACCTGTGCTTGCGCAGACGCAGGAAAGGATTATAGTGCCCAAGTGTATCTTGGGCACTATAATCCTTTCCTGCGTCGATGGCTAGCCTCCGTTGAAGCTGGCCGCCGTGGCCGAAATTCGGTCTGGAGGACATCTTTATTATTATTACAATTTTCAAAACTCAGTGTGCTCGGTTGTGTAAGAACAAAGTGAAAAAATTTGCATGTTCGAGAAATCAAAAATATTTGTTTGGCAACTGTCAAGTGAAGTCTGTTATCGCGCATTAGAGCAGCGAACTCTTCCCTGCTTTAAAAAAATATAGAATGTGTCTCGGAGAGTTGTTTCACATTTTTATACAAAATTGCAAATCGATTCTTAAGCGTTTTATTTATGTTTGTCGTAAGGAATCTTTTTTGAACCAGCAGTAGACTCACTCAGTAATATAGCCCAGTCCAAACGGGTAATTCTAAACAAGGCGATGGCGACAACTATTGTGAACGTGCTGATGATAAAATCATCACACATCACAAACAATTATTGTACTGATGATTAAACAAAAAATGTATGTGCAACACAAGCCAAAAGCAGTGCACGTTATAATTACGACAGTCCTGTTCCACAACACTTGATGCCCCGAATACCCAGTTACGACGAATTACGACGTTGAAGAAGGCGGAGGCTCGGAAGTGACCTGGACTCATCGTAACACCACTCCAAAGATTGTGGTGGTGTGAGAACTGCCCTCGGAACATACGTATATACACAAAATAATACGGGGCCCTCAGGCGTGTTCCTAACTCCCATTACGCCATGTCTACGATAATTGCAATAACCGTGGGGTTTTAAGCAGTAATAATATAGTATAACCACAACTTAATCCTTGCAGCGGATTGTATCCTTAAGGGGTTTCACACAAAAAAGAAACAGCCAAAGTCAAGGTCAATTTTACAATAATCGATGCAAACTCACCAAATACGATGCAATAGTCTACGCTCAGTTGTAAAATAGCGCGTTGGGTTGGAGGCCGGCTGAACAGGTTCGTTGGCGAACAAGCAGCTGTACAAGTGGCTAGCAACGATGTGGAATCGGGAACCTCGTCGTAGTCAAGCAGAAGGCAAATGTGCTCCTGGTGGAAAAAAGGGATCAATATATTATATCAATTTGTCGGAGATAGTCGGTATAAGATAACAGAAAATAATTACAATTGAGGGTAGATCGGGAAACCCCCACTACTTCTGAATAAGTAACGTGATTCTGTCAGTTCATCTTTTATTTAATTTACTGGCGTTACAGCTCTGGGTTCTAGCCCTTCTGAGCATATCATTTCTTTCAGAATTTTCATTTTTATACTTTTTCTTCACAATATGGCTGATGCGTCACATTGCGAAGCCCTTAGGAGATTTTGACGACAGCTCAACCCAGCGGACAGTTGATGACGACAGCCACTCATGTTCATAAGGTGCCCAAGCGATCAAAATAACTTGAGGTTTATGTCGACATCAAATCACTTATTTCGTCGCTTTCTCTAAATAGTTCACACGCGCAAACACTTAATTCACAAAATCGCATCACTTTTACGAATCAAAATCCACTTCAAACAATTCATCTACGGCAAAGTTCGCGCCAAAACTCCTGTCAGTTGTGGTTATTTCTTCTAGTACAAGTAAAGAAAGAAATGTTGCGGAGAGGCTGCCCTAACCTGCCCATTAATATAGCATATTATAACCTCATCAAAGTTATCATAGTGCAACCTAAGGTATGACTGTGGCGAGGACGTATTATTAACTGTAATTGCTCTATACTGAATGTATAGAGCGGTATGGTGTTTGATTGCTAAAAATGATTAATTGAATAAGCAAGTGGTGAGCAATTGAATAAAACTAAATTTACGGATTTTATCGCGTTTATTTCATTACTTTTACTTATTTTTAATTCCCGACGTTTCGGGTGCTTTACAGCACTCATGGTCACATGGTCCAATTTACGCAAAACGAGCTTATAGTATCATGAAGTCTTGCAGTGGTATGCTTGGGTTTGGGTTTAATTTTGTTAATTGTAGGATCCCAAGCAGGAGGCAGCACCCATCCATCTTCTCTATTGAAATTTGGATGTTTTTAATTTCAATAGCCTCGCGTATCATCCTTGGTAGGTTGTATCAAGTTAGATTGTGAATGTGGTTTCTCTTACATAGGTCAAACAAAAAGATCCATAAAAACCCGCGTGAAAGAACATATAGCTGACGTGAAGCACAGACGCTCCGGGAAGTCTGCAGTCTGCGAACATGTTCAAGATCGTCCCCACCATTACATTCGATTTGATAAACCACAAATTCTCGCAAAAGAACACCGATTCCTACCAAGGATGATACGCGAGGCTATTGAAATTAAAAAACATCCAAATTTCAATAGAGAAGATGGATGGGTGCTGCCATCTGCTTGGGATCCTATAATTAACAAAATTAAACCCAAACCTAAGCATACCACTGCAAGACTTCATGATACTATAAACTCGTTTTGCGTAAATTGGACCAAAAATTAATATTCAAAACCTGAAGGTAGCCGTACTAACTATGACATTGGGACGTCAAACATCTCAGTCCCCCCCGTGACCATGGGTGCTGTAAAGCACCCGAAACGTCGAGAATTAAAAATAAGTAAAAGTAATGAAATAAACGCGATAAAATCCGTAAATTTAGTTTTATTCAATGTGTAGTGTTCGCGTAAATTTAAGAAATCATTAAGTGGTGAGCAAGTTGAGCATCTGCCATCACACTATTATTATTTTTAACAAAATTCTCCCAAGGAGTATGTATGTAATATATAATTGTCGGTTTTCCTCTTTAGTGGTTCTTCTTTTGCAACCTTTAATAATCCTAAATTTAATAAAATAGGCTTTAGAGCCGTGAAGAACCGTGATATTTCAGATGGTTAGCGCCCGCTGTAAATTTCACAGTACGCGAGCACCCCAGGTTCGATCCCCGCCGGCAACAACGAAACGAAACGAAATTTTAATTGCAATGTTAAGTGCCGATTTACCACGTGAGAAAAACATCGTGAGGAAACATTCATATTTGAGAAATAAGAAAAAAAATATTTCGAATACATATGAAGTTCGCCAAAAAGCATTGGGACTGCGTGGCGGACACTTCCTTGCCCTGAAACCCTCTCAGAAATGAGTAACTGTAACTTTAACTTTTTATTTTAGACACTTATGATTTTCATTTTGATTTTGAATAAATGGAATCACATCGTCATCTGAAAAGCTGGTAAAACGAAGATATATAGAATATTTTGTAACATCAATAAGTTATTAAAACTACTTTTACGGATTTTATCGCGTTTATTTTTACTTTTTATTTACTTTTATTTTTAATTCCCGACGTTTCGGGCGCTTTCCAGCACCCATGGTCACGGATGCATAGATCGGACCATAAACAATAATTAAAAAAGCTGAAGGTACTCCGGGTTTAACAATGACATCGGGACGTCAGTCATCTCAGTCCCCCGTGACCATGGGTGCTGGAAAGCGCCCGAAACGTCGGGAATTAAAAATAAAAGTAAATAAAAAGTAAAAATAAACGCGATAAAATCCGTAAAAGTAGTTTTAATCATGTATAGTGTTCACGTAAATATAAGAAATGATTATCAATAAGTTAACCAATGTTTGCGATCACATATATCTTAATGCTCAGATTACGTAACTAGAGAGACTCTAGCATTGGATTTGATTCTCAGCTGGATCTAATTGACCTTCAGTGAAATTCTTTAAATAAATAAATAGTAGTAAATCTTTTTTCGATCAATCAAATTGAGACTCAATGAATCTTACTTTAAGGTTGATAACAGCGGCGGCCGCGCTAACGTGGACAGCATCAAACTTATCACTGGGCAGCAGCATAGCAGTCAGATCGACTGAATTTTGATGCGTCCCAGTCACAGCGTCACCGAGCGTTATAAGTGTCTTCATTTCTTCTTCTAAGTCCTTGCAGAGTACGGCTGTAAAATTAAATATTATAAAATTGAATTACACATTTGCTAAAGGTTTAAGGCGTTAGAAAACTCCATATCACCTAGTACCTAGGTGTCGTAACATTGTGTGTAAGAAGAAAGGTCATGTGTGATCATGTGGTCATTGGGTTCAAACCGGCCCTGATCCAAATCAATTAGTTAATGAGTTTTTCTATCAAGAAATTCTCAGTAGCAGTTTGGAATCAAAAAGTGGGGGTGGAGTGATTCACACTCGCGCCTCGGAAAGCACGTAAAGACGTTGGTCTTGCACTTGATCTCTCTCCGGTACATGTCTGTTCTTTATCCCGTCAGATTATAAGAATGACAGAATAGTTAGTACACGTGTGTTTGCGTACATACTCGTGTAGGTACTATAAATCTTGTCCTGTGCTAGCAAGCCCCTGTTGAGACTGGCCGTCGTGACCGAACTTTGATCTGGAGGACATTATTATTACTGCAAAGTTATGAAAATACTCAAAAAAGATTTTTTTTACCGGACCGTTCCAGATGGAGGGTACGGTTATTTCAAGTATATTTCCTTGGCACGCTCTGTAGCCTAAAAATGGCTTGATGGATTTTGACATACATGTCTTTAGAACCGTTTTAGTTATAGAATTAGTTACGTAGTAGGGCCACGCTGCAGCCATATTATGGTTGTAGCACGAATGGGTCGGCTCGACCAGGGAAGGACAACGCTCTCATAGAATACCAGTGTAAAATAGCAGTACAATGCTTCTGTATTTCGTATGGTGAGGGTAGAGAACCAGAGAACCGTTTTTACTGGAAACGAGGCATTTCATCTTAGTCCTCAAGGTTGGCAACGCATCTACATTTTAATTCTTACAGCATCCACTTACCATCAGGTGGACGGTGTGCTCGTTTGTCACCCACATCCAATTAAAAAAAAGGTGTCATAGGGTATAAAACTTTTCTGTTTTCAGTAAACTCCGATCTGACCTCGCAAAAAACTTTTCTTTTTTACTAAGTCGGATTTTTTTTAATTACTGTCACGAGAACAAATTAGGTGCGTTTGGCAGAAAAAAGCGCTAGCAAGCGCTTGTAAGCAAAATGGCGATCGTAAGCGGTAAGCGCTGTCAAATCGTAAGTAGCTATTTTCCTCTCGGACACGAAGTTAGTATTAACCGAAAAACTACCAATCATAAAAACTTACCAATCATGAATTTTTAATAACATGTATATGTCTATTCATGTCATTATATTACTTAAAACTAACATTGCACAAAAAAACTTATAAACTCTACTTCAAAACAAACAAATTAAATAAGCAAAATTGCGGATTGTGTCAGCGCTACTGAAGAAGCAATCGTGTCCTGGCCGAAAACTATTTCAGCGCTTGTAAGCGCTTGCTAGCGACTTTTTATATAAAAATCAATTTCTGCCTGTTAGTCACGCTAAAACTCGAAAACGGCTCGAGCGATTTTGATGAATTTTTTTGTGTGCCGTTTGAGTAGGCTTCTGGATGGTGTAGATTCACAATATGACCCGGTAGGTGGCGCTGTTGTCGAACTCCAGAAATCACCCGTGCGAAGCCAGATGCAAATAACACAATATATTAGTTTGTATGACAGTATCCGATTATACGTATCCATTTTACGTATTTTAATACGTAGGGCACTCAATAAGTTTTGAGATATGTATACATAAAGTATTCTTGACTGTTAATATTTATTTTACTTCTTTTCAAAATATTCTACATCATGCTCTTTGTATAGAACATGATGGAGAATATTTTGAATTTTTTTGAATATTTTAAATAGCCAAAGAAAAAATAAAAGGCAAGTTTTTTCAAGCGCCGAAGAAGCCGTGGCTGCCTACGAAGAAGCGATTTCCGACCTGTCAGATCAAGACTGACAAAAGTGTTTTCAGAGTTGGTTTACGCGAATGAAACTTTGCAAAAGTGTTTTCAGAGTTGGTTTACGCGAATGAAACTTTCAAGCTTCTTCGTAGGCAGCCTAAAGTTTCATTCGCGTAAACCAACTCTGAAAACACTTTTGACAGTCTTGATCTGACAGGTCGGAAATCGCTTCTTCGTAGGCAGCCTACGGCTTCTTCGGCGCTTGAAAAAAACTTGCCTTTTATTTTTTCTTTGGCTCTTGGGAACAAATATAAATCACAAGGAACTAAGTCAGGGCTGTAGGGTGGATGACTTAAGAGTTTTAACACCAGATTCTTCAATAAATGCTTTTGTTCTAAGGGAGGTATGTAAAGAGGAGTTATCGTGATGCAACCTGATTCCCCGAAGCGCGGTCTTTGCTGTCTTTCCGTACAGCTTGAAAAGCTTTGGATAATGAAACGACAGTAGCCTATATGGCAGGGCGCGGACCGCGAACTCAAAAAGGTCGTGGGTTCGAATCCGCCATCCGATTTAAGCTTACCACGAGTGGTTAAGGGGAATATTAGTAATGTTTATAGCATTGTTAATATTCTTTAAAAAAAACGCAAAAAAAAAACTAGCCACCATATTTTTGCCGACGTTGCGAAGTCTTTGCAGTTTTGTCGGTAACTGTCCTTCTGAGTAGACCCATACCGACGATTGCCTTTTATTTTCCGGATCATATTGATAGATCCACGTCTCGTCATCAGTAACGATTTTTGAAACACGCCTAGATGCCCCGTTTTCAAAACGTAGACGCATTTCATTGCACCAATCCACACGAGTCTGTTTTTCGCTTTCGGAGAGCAAACGAGGGATCCATCGACAACAAAGCTTCCTCCCTCCAAGATGTTGATGTAGGATGGTATGAATGCTCCCCGAACTAATACTTACAATCTTTTTGATGTCCGTATATGTGATTCGTGGGTCTCCTCGCACTAACATTTCAGTAGTCCATACATTTTCTGCCGTTACTGCTGTTTGCGGGGACCCGGTTCTTTGGTCATCTTTAAGGTTAATTTTACCCCTTTTGAATTCAGCAAACCACCTATAAATTGTTGCGCGTGATGGAGCCGAGTCCCTTAATGCTGATTGTAACCGTTGTAAACTTATTTGTTCGGTTAAACTAAGTTTAAAATTATAATAGATCATAGCGCGCAAATGTCCACGGTTAAGATCCATCGTTTTAAATGAAAAGTGCGGGAAGCGTTGCAGGAAAATTAATACAACTTTGTTTTTTTTTTTTAATATTAAGCAATTGGCTTATGGAGTTCTAATTTAAAATAAATTTGCTTTTTAGAAACATGTAACACGGGTGAGTTCCATTTTTAAATTTCAAGCATCTTAAAACTTATTGAGTGATCTACGTATTTACGGCTTTTTGCTGTTAGTTACCTGTAGTACTCCAGTTATCATTAAGCCACTTGTTGAGCCTGTTGACACAGCCTTTCACGGCGAGGGACAGAAGGGGTGAAGGTGCGGAAGGTAAGAGCGCCGCCAAAGCAGCGCCCGCTCGTCTCTTGATAGATGCCACACCCGCTTCGAGGGCTTCGCCCCGCAGCTGCTGTAGCTGGGACGCGTACAGTGCCTCTAGAGATTTGATGAGTGTTTCCTGATGAAATATTACTGTTGTCAAATGTTTAGTAAGGGTAATGTGCTGTTATGTACCTAGTTTAATTTGCACGCTATGTGCGCTCTTTGTCGACATGATTTGAAATTTATTTGAGATAAGTATTTAACTTTATTTCGTATTTGTTTAAAAACAGTAACTGTTGTAAATGAAAATACAACTGCGTGGCATATTTACCGTGACAGCTACCAGCCCACCCCCTCCCTCCCCCCTTACCGAATTGCTGATCATTAGTGTATATAGAAGTGTTTTTACACGCGGTAGAGCCATGCTACAGCAATGTTAATAGTGTAGTTGTAGCACGAATGGGTCGGCTCGACAGGACCAAGCTCTCACAGAATACCAGCGTAAAATAGCAGCTTGATTCTGCTATGTTTCTTATGGTGAGGAAAGAAAACTGGAGACCCTTTTTACTAGAAAATCACCCTTATCTTAAAAAAAAAGTCTTTGGCTGTACTGTGCTCTCCAATTGTAGGGAATAAATATCACGTCGGAGTCACCTCTGTGACGGTGAAGGAAAAGAGAAGACGTCCCGCCGGGTAAGGTGTTCTGCCCGGGGAGCGGCCAACGCTCCGTGTGATATTTCGAAGTTTTTACTTCGGAACTTTGATAGCGCGATTTAGGCTTCGATATGTTTCGCTTGTGGCGCGACGACAGCACGGCCACAAATGCCTTTAATCGTCACGCTGAGACATGCAGGAAGTCGATGGATGCAGGTCGCTCAGGGCCAGGTGCTTTATGGCATTCCTCGGGGGAGGCCTATGTTCAGCAGTGGACTTGTGAAGGATTGTAATGATGATGATGATGAATCGTTACGCTTGGCAGGGGGACTGACGATCCTTTGACTCTGCTGCTCGTAGCCAGTCTAAGTATTTTACATCTAGCGCAACCGAAGTGGTTATACCGCCATCTATCGGATGCCATAAAATTATGCTGGCATTTCTTATATTCATCTCTTTACACACCCACGGGATTATGGATTTGCTTACCGCGTTCAAACGGAATAATAACATGCAAAAATTTTATAGAAATTGAGCCCATGGCAAATGGAGTCACCTTCACCTATCACACACGTTGGAATAATATTTTAGACCTATATCAATGCAAAAACTTTCCGTCGGATGCGTGTACATTCAAATACTCCTAAGTAATTACTTGTTAATCTACGATGCACTATTATATATCGCATAAAAAATAAACAACAAAATCAGCATTAGAACATCAATGTCATCTCTGAGATCCTACTGAATATAGGTCTAGCCAAAGTTTAAGTAATAATCCATAAAATCTTGGTTAAATAAATTTCAAATTAAGGGTGCTTAATTAATTCCTGGAATGCATAAATGTATATGAAACAAAAATGCATTGAAAAACCATTGCCTCATTTACGAAACACAAAAAATATAGAAATGCCAATAATAATTCTACTTACATTATTTTCGCCATTTTTAGAGAAAACTAGGTTGGAAGCTTTTTCTCGCGTTTTCTTGCGGAAGTCGCTCAAAATTTGCGCGGTCAGTTCCTTCACAGTGCCGGAAGTGACTCGTTCCATTACCAGTTCTAAAACACGACGCGTCGATGACGGCTGAGTTTTTAAGAATTCCTCTTCTAAACGAGCCTAATACAACATAAAATAGGATAGTAAATATTTATAATATTGTAAAATAATCTTTATAAATAAACGCGTGATATTTGTTTTGGATGTGCTCCATGTGCCAACTTTACATGGAAAGTTACGTTTATGTTTATACTAATATTTACCTGTAATTCCTTCTCCTTATTCCGTATCCGATCTTCGGCGTTCAAACTTAAGCTTACAGGCGTTATATGTCTAAAACTGCCCATCTCCTTCTGATCGTTCGATATCTTACACGTGGACAGTAACACATTCACGTCTCTCAGGAATGGACACAACTCAAACAAGATCGATTCATTGATTAAATCATAAAAGTCTATAGTGTTTTCACTAGCAACACTGACGTTCAAACTTTTGCTTTCGCAGAAAAATTCTTGAGGGAAATGCGGCAAGCCAAATAGCCATCCGAGTATTGATTTCAAAAATATCACAGTGTTCTTCTTTATCAGACTTATTGGGTTCATTTTTAATTTTGTCTCATATATATTGAATAGTAATTTTAGTAGATTTTGGTAGTATTTCAGGCGTAGTGATGTATAGTCTAGCATGGACAAATAATGGATGATCCAGGGTAACGTTATGCACAAGCGACCGTTTTCATCGGAGTTTATTAATATTCCACGCAAATCTATGCAAGGCTGTGTCTGAAAAATATAAAATAAATTTATATCTTAGTTTCCTCACGTAAAGCCTACCTTTTCCATAACATGAATAAGCATGACAACTACATCAAAATAAATCTTAAAAGTGGGAAAAGTCAAGCTGTGAACTTAAAGCAAAGATGCTGGTTTGGACGCTTACAAAATTTCTTAATGCGATGTTATTCTGCAAAACTTTTTCTTTAGGCACTGTATAGTTAACTTCTTTCTGTATTCTTGTGTTTGCTAGGGCTCCAGTCTTCGTCATAAAGTCTGTAGGCACTTGTGAGTATGGTAAAGATGTTAAGTATCCCAGGAATTTCGAGAGAAGACACAGCTTTTTGGATAACTGTAAGAACTCTCTTGAGATGTCTGATTGATTATCTGTAAAAAAATGTTATATATACAATATTATGTATAGATATAAAATATACGAAGAATATTAAAAACTTACAGCTCTCCGATACAATAGTTGTGGAATCAAGGGCGATAATCTCCGAAGCGAACGCATCTCGCAAATGGACTCGGAAGCATTCATTCTCAGCATACATTATAAATTCCCTATAAAGAGGCAATAGCTGATAGACCTGTTTCATAGGACACATGATGAACATTGGAAATTATATATTAAAAAGTGTCAGTATCATTAGGCGCTGGTGGGACAGGTGATAAGCTCCCGCTAAACTTTCACAGTATGTGAATAACCCTTGTTCAAGTGCTGATTTACAATGTACTCGACAGTAAAGGAAAACTTACACGTCTAAGAAATTAAAAGGAAATATTTAGATCAGCAAGCAGGGCGGCGCGGTGGATATTAGGGGTGTGCGTTGCGACGACGAACCGTTTACAAATACCGTTTTATGTTCTGCGACGATGAAACCGTTTTACGTCCTGAGTCCGAACAGTCTTCGTTGCACAAACCACTCTTCGAATCACTTGATGCGACTTTTTATTTTACGCCTGCGAAAATAAAGTCGAGAACGCAATGATTCAACTATCTATCTCACTAGTCGCGTCGTCGTCCCTAATGTTCCACGTTTTATTGTAGTCTCTGATTCCGCATTCGTTTACAAACATTAGTAAAGTCGAAAATCGTTGATAGTTGTAAGGAATCGCAACCATTTCACTCGACGAAAACACAATTCTATTCCATGATGGATAAGTTTCGTCTTTTAAGCCGTCTTCAAACCGGTTGCAACAACGACCGTTTTCTGCAACCGTTTTCGTCCTCGGGAAAACTGTTGCGTTTAGTTCGTCGAAAATTCGACAACGACCCAGCACTAGTGGATATTTCCTTATTTCAGAAATGAAAGGCCTGTAACCCGTAGACAGAGAAACCTAAAGACATATTGACACCTTCTTTCGCATTCGCACACGAAAAAGATAGATTTATGCATACGTCTTGCATAGAAATGAGACAGAGCGGTGTGATTGTTTGTCCCTTTCTCCGTGCCGGTTTTTTTGTTTAGCAAACTAAACTTTGCTAAACAACTTTGACAGTTCGTAGCGATCTAAGGAGTTTACAAGTTGGTTTAAGTGAGCAAAAAGTGTTTTGTGAGCTTAAGATTGGTGAATCTTGTTCAGTTCAGTTCTTAGAACAATTAAAAATTTATCTAAATATGTTAAAAAGTCATAAAGATTATTGTATAACCTATATATATATATATATATATATATATATATGTATATATATATATGTCTAAATTTATACGACTTTTAATTTTAATCCCATTCCTAGTCATCATGACTATTTATTTTATTTATTTAATCTTTATTATACACCTTGGGTATGTTCCGAAATACAACGCAGTGTACTGTCCAATGCAAATGACGTATCATTTGACACTTTATTGTACTAGCGTGCCGCCGCCATATTGTATCGGATATCCGGCCATAATACAACAATTTTTAATTGTGTGTTTGCCGAATGAAGCAAGTAGTTACGTTGTACTAGTTCTGGCGCACTTGTAGAAAGGTTGTGTATTTATCCCATATTATATATTAAGTAGTGAGCCGTGGTAGCTCAGATGGTTAACGCTCGCTGTAAATATAACAGAACGCGAGTAACCCGGGTTCGATCCCCGCCGGCACCAATGAAATTGTTAATTGCAATTTTAAGTGCTGATTTACCACGTGCTCGTCAGTGAAGGAAACATCGTGAGGAAACCTGCATGTGTGAGGAATAAGAAAAAAAAATTATTTCGAAGACATGTGAAGTTCGCCAACACGCATTAGGGCAGCGCGGTGGACACTTCCTTAACCTAAAACCCTCTCAGAAAATGAGGGGAGGCCTGTGCCCAGCTGTGGGACTTATATAGGCTGTAACTTTAACTTTACTTATATATTAAGTATGTATGAGTATGTATGTATATTTTACTAACTATATATCTATTCTATTTATTTGTAGTTTATTTTGTTTTATATTCTTATTATTTATTTATGAAGTGATTGGTTACACCTGCCACAGTTTCTCAAATCATCCAGGGTTGACTGGCAGAGAATGCCATAAGGCATTAAGTCCGCCCTTGATATCTCTTAGTATATAAGGGGTATGTTCCGAAATACAACGCAGTGTACTGTCCAATGCAAATGACGTCATGAATCGACGCTATACTGGTGATTCGTTCAAGTGTTGGCGATTATTTTGTCATTTTGTGCTCCAAAAATCATTATATCCTCCTAATGGATATACCATCAATTATTCTATAATTTTTTGTATTTGAATAAATAGAAACAAATTCTGGCATGCTTCAGTAGTTACGTTGTACCAGTTCTGGCGCACTTGTAGAAAGGTTGTACCAGTTCTGGCGCAGACTTCGTCGACTCACAATCCTAAAAAAAAAAAAAAAAAAAAAAAGGTTTTGGCATGCTCTGATCACGAATCTGCGGTCCATTTTTGCGTAGGATGCATATCTAATTGATATCCGCTGCGAGCCTCAACCGTCATTAGCGCTCCATTGTCCTTATCTACTTATCTATTGTTGATTGACTACCGTCATTATCTATTATTCGTCCAGCGTGTGGGTCGGCTTATGCTATTGTATTATACTCCTTTGTTCCTATCTACAACACTAATCTGAATCATCAATAAAACACATTACCTAAATTTGTTAAATTTTTATTTATAAAATACAAAATCTTATTACTTATTATCTATAAAATAGGAGCGAAACATCTCATCCACTAACATATCGTTGTACAATGTGTTCTCTGTAAATATACTCGTAAAACTATGCATTGAACATCCCTGAAACTTATATAGCAAATACATTAAGCAATATTCGCCACAAACTGAAGTCCTATCAACATTCCAGTTCCATCTTTTAAACACATTACCTAATTTTGTTAAAATTTTTATTTATAAAATACAAAATCTTATTACTTATTATCTATAAAATAGGAGCGAAACATCTCATCCACTAACATATCGTTGTACAATGTGTTCTCTGTAAATATACTCGTAAAACTATGCATTGAACATCCCTGAAACTTATATAGCAAATACATTAAGCAATATTCGCCACAAACTGAAGTCCTATCAACATTCCAGTTCCATCTTTTACAATTTCGTACAGGTGCCCCGTCCATATGAATCAAAATATTCAACGACGTCATTCGTATCGATATATAAAGCTACCCAATGTGACCCTGGCTTATCATCTGTACCCAAATTGCATATTACCTATCATAGGTCATAAATTCTATCACATGTTTAATGTAAAATAATTGAAACAAGTTTATTCATTATGTAACCATTTATATACCAAAATGAACTTAACAAAACATAGATTCTTATGACACTATAGTTTATTCAAAATGACCTCCGTAATTTTGAATACAGGCCTTCAATCTGCGCGGCCAGTCGTCTATCTCACCACGAACGAGGTCCATGTCATATCGGCGGCTGCCTTAATTAAAGATGTCTTGAGTGACTCGAAATTGGGATGAGGCTTTGAGCACGCCTTTTCCTCCAAGTGTTACCATATCTTGTAATCTAACGGATTCAAATCTGGACTGGTCTTTGTGTCGGATGAAGTCGATTTCACGCGCCGCCAGCCAGTCTTTTTTTTTTTTTTTAAAGAACGTTACCTCCACACTAGGTTTTTCTCCTGTATCGTGGGGGCAGTTTACAAACACAAATTTCACAAGGACAAACATCCAAACTCGGAACAATTACTTGTAGGTCGTACAAATACTTGTTCCGTGCGGGATTCGAACCCGCGACCCCCAAGCGCAGCCACTCATTGCTAAGCCACTACGCCACGGAGCTGTCAAAAGTCTTGTGTGCTCTTCGCTCTATGAGCTGACGCCGAATCTTGTTGGAATACCCAGTGCCTGTTATTGAACATGGTATGAGAAACAGGTTACACAAGGTTCGTCAGGACTGTATTTTGATACACAACTGCATTCGTTTTTAACCTTTCTCACAAAAATGTACCTCTGTTAAGCCCCAATAAGAAACTCCCAACCATACCATGAGCGAGGATGGAAAATGACCTCGTTGGACACGCGGAATACGGTTGCTCGCTTCTTCACTACTGTGTGCGTACACCTTATCATTTTGTTTGTTGTAGCTCTCTTCTACGGTAAAAAATTTTTTTATCCGAAAAAAAGAATTTCCCGATATTTTTTTCCCGCGTACCGCTTCACCAAAGCGCGGCATCTCTTCAGTCTCAGATCCATTAGACGAGCATTCAAACGATGTCCTGTTTTTCTTCGATATGCCCGAAGCCCTAAGTCTTCATTTAACGCCGTGGTTCTGCTTAACCCCATCTGAAGGGCCAACAGTTTCTGCTTACGTTTGGGATTTCTTTGAATTCGCACCTTTACAGCTTTTATCACTGCTGGAGTCCTAACAAATCGAGGGCGACCACTTCTTGACCTGTCATCTACACTAGAGTCTTCATTGTATCGTTTGATGGTACGATAAACGAATCTTTTGGTTATATTCAAATTTTTCAGTATATCAAAAAATTTAATTGGCGCGTAATCGCAACTGCAACACGGTCTTTTTTAAGCGTCCACTCCATATGTAAAAATGAGTAAAATTCTAAAAAGTATACAGTTTTATTTTCATGAACAATTCGAATTCAATAAACTTTTTTGTGGCCAGCATTCTAAAAGAAAAGTTTTTACTGTGTGACAATACTTATGACCTGACTAGGTATATACGTTGGTACGTGGGTGTACATGGGCAGTCTGTAGCAGCATAAACATTATTTTCTAGACTGGGGTGAATCTTTTTCAGATGTTGTTGTACATCTAGTGTATCCATGATATTACTGCTATTAGTAGATTACTACAGTACAATCTACTCAATGACTAACATAGGAATGATCAATTATGTGATTTCTAAATATTAAATTGCATTTTTTCTGTTATACAAAACGTATTTGAGTCATCAATACACTGAATAAGACGCAACACGAAGAATGTGAGATAAGGTTGTTGACGCATAAAGTTATTATCAATTCTACTGTAGAAATTCTTTAGATTAGAATTATTACTTACTGGTACTATATAAGACCAAGCAACTGCAGTCATGGAGTTAGTGTATGGTC